ATCATTCTGCACTTCAAGCCGCTCCCAGACACATCTGGAGGAAGTCAGGAAAAGGCAGAGCGGGGTGGAGGGGAAAGCGGTAGTCCCTACAGCAGCCGTGACAGCTGCTGGGGGATGCGAGGGGCCCTCAAGAAAATGACAACTCCTTTGAATGATGGCCTGGAAGAAGCACTCCGCCGGCTTCAGGCTGGGCTGAGAACGGGGCGTTTGCATTGCTCCCCAGCTGGGCTTCATTTATCAAAGGAAATGATTCACCACATGCCAGGTTGCTGCCAGGCTCCAGCCTGCACCACGGAGGCACCGGGAGCGTTCTGCCTCATTTACGCCCAGAACTAGCATACTGCAGCTGCACCGTGCCGGCCTCTGTGAACGTGGCACCGTCCCAGGCTCAAGCACCATTGCACAGGGCTAGGCAGCATGCACAGCTCACCTGGATGGTCTGATATGCTGGGAAAGTTTATTTTAAAATCGCTGGAAGATAGTGGTGCAGGAGACAGGTCACAACTCGTCTAGGATGTCTGGTAGAGGCAGGTGTGGTTTGCCCCTAAAGCTCTTCCGCTCCTGAGGATCAATCCAATGAAATCCTATTCTCACCTGTGGAGCCGACGGCACCGTTGCCAGCTCCGGGGAACGCCAACGGAGCTGGAGCACAAAAAGCCCTGGTGCAATACCTTGCCTTGCTCTGTTCTTCCTTTCCCTGCCTCTTGGGGAAGAGCAGTGCCCAGAGCTGCTGCAGAAGGCAGGTAAAGCCTACCCCTATATACTTAGAATAAAAAATATCTGGTGGTGGAAGGTGGGGGGCATAATCCGAGCCCGTGTAGGCCGGGCAGAGGGGAGCACAGGCGCACGGTTACACGGTGCAGGGGTGAAGCAGCCAGAATGCTCTTGCTCGCTGTAAATCGGCAACATCACCCATCACATGCACGCTGCCCGCAGGCAGGGGTGCCAAATCAGATGGTGCCAAACCTTAAACAACTCCACAATCAGGAGACAAGCCTTTGAACATTTTTGGGGCCGAAATTCCAGCTTTAGTGTTCAAGACTTTGGTGCAGCTGTCGGCACAGTCCTCATCCATTTCTGGCCAGGACAGCTGCATTTTGCTTAACTAAATATATCCCCCCCACTTAATTCCAACTAGAGGGTGGTGGGACTCTTCATTTCTTGTCCTAACACCAGCTGTTAGCCCCTGCCACCTCCTCTCCAGAGTTACCTGCAGCTCCGTGGTGAGATGCAGCCATTCTTGTATGGCAGCCTACCAAGGCTGCGAAATTTTGGGGGTCTTGAAGTGACCGTGTAAAAGTAAGGGATAATTGCCATGGTTTGTTCCCCCCCACAACAGGGATCTATTGCCTCCCCCTTCCCCACTACAGTAAAATCTAAGCATCATATAGGACTTGGCTGTTAAACTAGCTGGATAGCAGACTTGCATCCACACTAATGCACCTAGAAGCAGTGGTTTGCTATAATTTTTTCTGCTCTCCTTCCAATACTCTGCACAGCAGAAGGAGGTTTCTCCAGCTCTCCCCTAGTCAATCATCCTGATCCGAACCTCAAGGCACTTGCCAAGAGAGGCTGAACCAGCCAGATTCCCCCATGCCCGGCAGCATCAATCCTCTGCTCCTCCTGACATCGTGTCTTCTCATACCACCAGTGAAAAAAGAGGCAGCATCTCCAACACTTTGGATCAGCATAAAATATTAAAGGGAGCCCGAAGAAGTCAGGTAATTATATTTGGATGGAGTATTTCACGGCAGCTACAAATACGTGAGGAGCCTGAAAAATCCAGGGCTGCCCCTTGTTTTATGATTATTTTATAGCCTCATCAATCTATGGCAAATGGGGTGGAATTACTACATAATCTAAATAGCAGGCCCAAATCTACAGCACTGCACCAGGAAGCATAAATGAGACTGTATAGTTCAGCACTGGATGTGATGTATGTAGTTGTGAAGGCAAAATAACAGCCCCAAAATGCACCACCGTTTCCTGACAGGGAATTGTTAAACAGTGAATAAAGGGTATCTGAGCCACTATAATGATCTGCTCTCTGCAGTCATGCTCTCAGGATGACAACCCTGGGATGCGGAAGGCTTCTGAATAGCCGTGACTCACCGCTACATGGTGCCCTTCGTTAGGCTTGATGGGGTGGGCTCATGCCTATGAACTGGTATCTCCAGGAAAGGTAGAGGGATGCCGGGACTCTGGATTCTTCCTCCTGCATCTGTGCCCAAGACCAGAAGAGATCCTGACCGCTGCATCCTGCCAGAGAAGGATCCAGCGAGCATCCAAAACAGCTGTGTGCTTTCTCCCGCACAACGTGAAAACCCCAAGAGCCACAACCGTACCTTCCTCCACGACCTTCCTTAAAGCTCACCACCACTTGGACGCCTACAAAGCCCAGCATGGCCAGGCTGAAGCCACGCTGCTTCTGTTCCTCTTCCCTTCTTTTTTCCCCTCAACTCCCTTCTTGTACCCACAAATGCAAAGCAAAAACAGGCATGTAAGTAAAAGTGGAGCCAGTTCTTCACCAGCTTTGTTGGCCCATACATTGCCACGCACCATCATCTGCTCCCTGCTGGTCTTTGATTTTAGGCTCCAAGCTCTTAGAGGCAGATCTCGTCTCCCACGGCGTCTACGCAGCACCCGGCATAATAGAGTAGTGTTGGATTGAAGGCTTTGACTGCTAGCGCTATATAAATATCTAACCAGCCTCACATACCCCACAAGAGGAAGGCATGGCTGTCCTCTTCCTTGCTGGCCAGCAGAAAGGGGCTGCTGTTCAGGGGCTAGGGAAATGTACCCTTGGGAGAAGCACAGCAAAGGCAGCAGGACCTTGGGGAACTAAGTTTGCCTTGCGGTATATTGGCCTCTGTATTTGTCCCCACGTAGGCCGTGTAGCCAAATAAAGTTTACCGCATGTCTGCATGCTGGACTGGAGGAGTGGTACAAACAGCTCCCTCATTCAGTGCCCAAGCCAATTCCCTCTGAAGTCAATGGGAGGTTGTCTTGTGGTCTTTTGGGACACAAAGTTAGCCTCAAGCATTTCCCTAGGGACACACAACAGCATATCATAAAGGAGACATGGATGTAGATTAAGGGCACCCACTATCAAGCTGCCGGCTTCTGACTGTCCGAGATACTGAATAGTGCACTTTGTGGATGTATTGAATATACAGCAGCTATGCTGTAAGCAGAAGCAAGTTTAAGATGGTATTAGCAGTTGTTGCTAGGGCAATTAATGCTCCTTTTTGCTAGCAAAGTACTTGCCCAATGACTGTTTGACAGTCTGGTCTGGGAAAAAGTGAGTGGTAATCTAGGATTTGGAAAGGTGGCAGATCAAGAGGCTTTGTTACAGCAGATTAGTTTTGGCACAGACGGCGCACAGGGGTACAACCTGCTCCTACAAAACAGCTGAAGCAATGCAAGGCATTTCACCCCATGTCCTGGGAGCATCACATCCCTCTTCTCCGGTTTAATCATTGGCATGCCAAAAGCTGAAGCCAGGACTCCCTTTAAAGCTTGTGAGTTGGTGGCTGCTTATAATACTGGACCTTCTAGGGTGTCTCTAGTAAGTACAACACCTTACCAAGGGAGGAGTCCCCGAAACCCAGGGAGAACCATAGGAGTAGCAAAGAAGCCATTCAGAAGTGTTTTAAGTGGCGATGAACACTCCCAGACTGATCCGGGGTCCCCCGAAACCGAGGGAAAGATGCCAACTTCAACGAGCTTCAGTTCAAGGCCGAGTACCACGTTTCTTTTTCTTTTCAGGGAAACACAGAACTTGTAAGCAGCAGCCGGAGCGATGCTGTCCAGACAGAGCAGCTTTTATTTATGCAGAGCAACAGTTCAGCACGGACAGCTGCAGCGCAACCTTCCTTCACACCGCCGTACCAACGGGCCGCGACGCCATGTGCCAATTAACAGCCTTGGCCAGCCAGCTCCTAATTAATTCTTTGTGCTTAAATAGCCTTTTTTTTTTCCCCCAGCACAGGATCTCAAACCATTTTACAATGAGTACAATGAGCCTCGCAGCGCTCCTGTGAAGCGGGGGCGCATTTTTCTACTAGTCTCATAGATGAGTACGTTCCAGCTTGCAGAGAGGCGGACTGATTTGCTCTGAGCCTCGCAGAGCTTATCTGGAAATACAAGGCAAGGGTCCTGATTTGGAGATGCACCATCTGGGATCAGAGCAAACAGTCCTCCCACCTCCAAGCCCTTCTTTGAAATTTGGGGAGAAACTCTTGGCAGGGACGCATCAGATCTGAAGTTCCTCCTACATGTGAAGCCAGCCAATGCACCCTACTCAAAGGGTTGCTCACTGCAAACCCTTGGCGTCAAGAAGAGCAACCGGTCCAGACCTCCCCATGCGCCAAGGGAACAGAGTGACGGCAGCAGCGGCTTTATCAGATGCCCCCCTGAGTGGGAACGGTGACATTTGGAAACGTCAGTAATGCAAACAATGAGAAAGGAAGTTAGAAAAGGAAACCGTGGAGGGGGAAGCCGAGACTGCCCAGGTCCATTGTGACCACGTTAGCTGAGTCAGCCCAGGGAAGGGGAGAGGAAGTGGAGACCGCACCCCTCCAAAAGAGAGGCTGCAGCAGGGGTCCCTGGCAGAGAAGCAAACCAAATACCCGACTGGGGGGCAGGGGAAGTTTCAAAAGTGTGCTCTGTCTGCTGACCACCTGGGGAGCTGGTCTCCTCAGGGTACCTCCCTCTGCCCCTGCTCACCTCCCCTGGGGAACAGAAGCTGTCCATCAGCTCCTGTGGGCACTACTGCTCCTGCCCAGCCGGAGCCTTGCTGCCTAAACCATTTTGGGACCAGCTCTGGAAGCAGTGAGATGATTTCTACTTTTCCAGTCCAAACCTAAGCAACACCTTTGGGGAGAGCACCAGGTCGTCACGGCGGGCTAAGAGCAGGAGAAGCCATGGGTTGGGAATTAGCAATTCACGGACAAAAATCTCACTTCTTTTATAGCTGACAGAGGGATACATGGGGCGTGGGTGCCCAGCACTCAGGAGAGCCAGCTGAGCTTGCGGGCACATGAGAGCTGGGTTGGGAGCAAAGAGCAAGAGCTGCTAGGAGCTAGCTTGGTTTTTCTCAGACTTTTTTTTATTGGTATTGGTGCAGAGGCATCCGTCACCTTGCCGGCGGCAGGGACAAGAGGCTCCCCCCACACATGCAAAACAGAAATGCTCCAAGTATCACGCTCTTCTCTTCAGACTCCCCGTACAGTTTCATCAGCTCCGCTGTGCACGTCCCTGGACGACACAGCCACGCAGCGTCCGCACAATTTAGAACCAGTTAAAGCCAGCAAGATTTTGTTATTCCCATTACAACAGCCACAAATAACATTTCAGCGTTTGCTGGCAATTGTCGGCCAGCAGTACGCACCGTATCACCATCCTGCCGTGCTTCGAAACCAGAACTGCAAGGGACATTTTCAGCTGGGTGGGGAGGAGAGGTGGGTGGGAAGGGCTTTTGAACAGAAAGCATTTATTTCTTCATGCCCTTTGGGACAAAAAAGCAGTTTGCGCACAGCCTTGATGGCGCCCTAGTGCTTCGTGGCAATAATTAAAGGGGATTTGCTTTCACGGGCGTGATCTTCATTTGCCAGGATGCCAAAATTACATTGTGCTCTTCCTGTCCTCCTTGGAGAGAACATGATGTGAGCTTGGCCGGCCAAGAGATGCCATCTGGAGCAAGCACAGGATGCCTGGAAACAGAGTTTAAGTGCTGATATTAGACCCATTATGTGGTGCTAGACTGGGACCTAGATGTTTTAAACTATGTACCACTTGGACTGATTAGGCGATAAAACTGCAGTCTGGAAGCCTTTCGCCAAGCCATTCACATAGGCTGTCAGGTCTTGTGTTGAGATTTGGCATCTCATTTCTAGCTGTTCTTATCCTGTGCACTGCTAATAATGAATGTCAGGGAAGAAAAAAAAAAAATCAGGCTACCCTGGCCTGAACTTCCCATGTTAGGACCAGATGGTAGAGGAGACCTGCTGCCTTGTCCTGCATCACCATACATGCCAGTCTTTCTACTGGGACAAAAAAGGAGCCATAATCCCTACGCAGTGGGGTATCAATGGCTGGCGACCTCCCACATAGCTCAGCAAGGCCAAAGCCAGACCCTTGGGCATCTACTGAAGCTAATGGGATTTTAAGGGCACTCTGCACCTAAAAGGCAGCTGGCTCCTTCACAATAAGAAGCATAAAGCAGCAACTCACTGATGAGATTTAAGGGGTCCTTGGAGGGATAGTAAGGCAATAATGTTGTGTTGGCCTTCAGGAAATCCCAGGTTGATATGATATCTCAGCCCTTAAGGGGAGGGAGTGTGGAGAGGAGAGGGGGGAATTATTTAAATATAATATGTTTCCTCCTGTCGATTGGTAAATCAGATTAAAGAAAAACCGTAAGAAAACAGCAGTCCCTGGAATACAATTCATGTTGCTGCATTGTTAAATTATGTATTAGCTTTATGCCAGGTACAGTTATAGTAGAGCACCATCTGTTTCCCAATATGGTAACTCACAGCCATAGTAGCAGAGATTTACTTTTATAATTCCTCTTGGTATGTGCCGAGCTGATGAGCGCAGTGTCTACCGCAGAGGAAGGAGTCTGTCACCTGCCGACTGCACATTTGGGATATACCCTAGCGAAGGATGGGTTACAGATTATTTATTCTCAGACATATGGGATGTGCTTATGATGCCAACTCTAATGAATAGCTCTTGATGATGCTACGCATCCTCCAAATATTGCAGGAGAAGCACATTCTCCAGCTGCTTGTTCATCGTGCCAGAGCACACTTATATCAGCAATTTCATTTCTTTACATTCTGCGGATGGCCAACAGTATTTCATTAGGATATCCTGATCGTAGGATGGAAAAGTAAAAAATTTCCAGAATCCATAAACTGAGATTTAAGAGCGTGTGAATTAAAAGATTAAATGCAGCATATGACAAAACATTAAGTGCATGAACATATCAGAGATGGATTTCAGTTCTCCACTTCCATGTGATTTCTGCTGGTTCTTCAGTGGTACCAAAGCCACTAAGACATCAGCAGAGCGGATGGCGCCACAGTTACTATATAACCAACTAGGCTACTTTCCATTGCTTTTAAGCTAGAGCCAAGACTCAGTCTAGAATATAACTGCAGAGGTGAAATGGGCTTGCAGATGGAGGCCTACTGGGATGAAGAAGATTCCCCAGTGGAAGATGTTGGCCAGCTGCTATTCTATTCGCATATCTCCCTCTGCTGGTCAGACTAGCACATCTACTTTTAAGGGACATTATGCTTAAAAAGCATCCCAAATTTCTTACCCCTCTCCACCTCCACCCCTGCATACTTCCCTGTCTGGGACAAAGATGAGAAGTGCTCTTCAAGGAGAGAGCAGAGGGACTGCAACCTGCTGGTGGGTGAGGGTCGGCAGGGGATGAGTGGTTACATCCCAAATGAAAGCGAGCCCTTCCAAAGCTTCCCTCCCTTGCTGAACAGTGTTCATCCAGCATGGACACACTAGGGAAGCAGAGCTGCAGACACAGCTTTGACTAGATGTGACGAAAGTCTCACTTTGCCTTCGCAGGATGCAAGGCTGAGTGGGCGCAGACAGGTGCATGGATGCAGTGGTCTGGCCCTTTGCTCCAGATTCCTCTTGAAGACCCCCAGTTGAGGGCAGACTGGACAAGCCCCTAGCTGGGGTTGTCTGACCCCAGCGCTCTTTCCTGCCCAGGGCCGGGAGCGGACTCGATGACCTGCTGAGGTCCCTTCCAACCCTAACATCTATAAATCTATGAACTGTCTACAACTACTGTTGAAGTTTTAGTTTTTCTCCTCCTGAAGGCTTTGGCCAAAGCTATTCTGGCTGTCAGCTGTCCCAAAACAAGGTGCCCCATGCCACTGTGCACCCTGCATGTCTGTAGCACAATTTTTCACATGCTTGGGAATACACCCAGGATCCTAGGTTGGCAGGGCAGCTACCGCGGGACAGCAGCAACTCACACAGGGCAAGCCTATCCCTAATCTACACTGGGGCACAGGATGCTCCCAGTTCCCAGAAAGCACCGAGCTGTCTTAAGCAACCTGCGCTCCCTCCCCAATCCTGCAGAGAAATGTGGCTCAGTGCAACGGAAAATTCAGCAATCCCTGCAGAGCTCATAAGAAACCTCAGAGCTCCTACTCTTCTCTTCAGGCTTTTCTTTTTGCATCACAGATTGGTGTTTCTCCCTCTCTGAGCCAGTCTCATACTTCTAAACGGGCAGACAGAGGTCCTCCCCCATGTCCCCTTCCTCAATGCCTTAACTCCTTCGAAAACAAGGCAGATGTTTTAAAAACCAATTAACCCTTCTAAAAATGGCCCCTATCTTAACAACAAAATAAGCAGGGCTATAAAGCTCTTGTAGCATATCTTTATTTGTAAGTGCGTCTTTATTTGATGCTTTCTTTTTTTTCCCTTAAAATTGGGAGGTAAATTTGGGTGCATCTTAAATTCAAGGGAGCCTTCTATTCCAAGGAATACGGCGCACACTCCTCATCTGAGATCATGCCTGCTTTTCAATAACTAATACAAACTACCTACCACAATAGGCTGCAAAATGATTTGAAAAAACCCCCCAGCTTCATCGTGCCATAAAATTAATTCCAGCGCCTCGTGTTCTCATGGGAGGAAAGAGAGACAAATCCCAGCGTTACAGGAGCGTTCAGTTTATACTAAATATAATTTGATCCAGGAAAGTAAATTTACTACAAGTGTGTATATCTCTAAATTTACATAAATTCCCACCTATGGGCTTTTGAATGGTAGGGGGGAGGGGGGTGTTAATGCTATTTGTTGCATCTCAGATCTAATGCACACGAGCCCAAAAAACAAGACGATACCAAATCACTGTGCTGTCAGCATTGCATGCGCTGCTGAGAAAAGGCTGTTCCCAATATGAACTTGATGTATGTCTATTATCACAAAGCGCAGGATAGCAATGCTAAAACTCCCCCCCCGCCCCCGTCTTCACCCAGAGCAGGACTGAGCATCAGTATTTTACCACGTCATTTTTCCTCATTCCCTCTCCCCTTCCTGCAAGAAGTAATTTATAGTCTGCAGAGCAAATCACGAAGCATCCAAACACAAAGCCAAATGCTTTCCACAGCAAGAAGTCATCCCAGCCCACATCATGTTCAGCATCACTATGCCCGTGTTTGTGCTGTGCTTTATTTCAGCGACAGCTGCCTGCTAACTACAGGCATTGCAGGAATTCGGGGAGTGTACTCATCCACTTCATCATGCATTCCTCGAATCCATGCACCATCAAGTCACCCCAGTGACTGATTAAAGAGGCCTCCTTTGGACGATGAAACATGAAATGCCTGGTGCAGACCACTCGATTTGCAGAACCTAACTCCAAATCCATATGTGATCACATCTCTGACATGCTAAACTCCATGTTGCAAGAAGCTTTTGTGTCTGTTCATACCTTTAGCTCCGGTGCAGTCTTCTGTTTCGACTTAATCCTTGCTTGTAATATCCTTCAGCTTTCCACCACGAGGTGCCGATTTCATCCTTCTAATTCCATCATGCCTCCATCTCCTTTATCCAGATCTTTCACGAAGTGCTACAGCAGAGAAGACAGAATATCCATTTCTGTTAAGAAAAAAAAACCCACACACAACTCATGCATCCGAACCGTGCGCTGCTTTCTATTCATTCCCGAGATTCGCTAGCCCCATCCGAGACTGGCAATAAACCCGCTATGTACACAAATTAGCTGGGTATACAAATTAACAAGCTCTATTGCCAAGATATTTGTACACAAATTAAACTGTGGCATTCCTCCCCGCTAATGTCTCTGGGTGCACTACTTCCCAACAGCTTCCAGTGATGTGCGTTTCGGTTCATTAGAGATGCAAAACCAGTCTTGCTGAACATCTTTTAAGTTCATCTAGGCATAATTCTGTCTTCCATTAGATTAATGAAGTGTTTCCAAGGTACACAGATATACATGTTAGCTAATTACTGAAGTCAGAGCGAGGCAGATCTCTTAAACAAACCCATCGTGATGGAGCTTTGTACTACTAATTATGAAAATAGATGCGGTGAGTTGGGAGACACCTGACAAGCAGTTCCTTAGAGCGGGTGTCTTGAGGCACCTCTCTAAAACCCTTGTCCACACAGCAAACGCTGGAGATTGCCACCCTCCCAGAGCTAAGCCTCTGTGCCCCAGGGAAAATGGACCTCGTGATAATAGTAAATGCCCTAGCGATATTTTTTAGACTTTTTGCCTCCTCTCCTTTCTCAGGGTATGGAAAGCTCCGCTTGGGGTCAGTTGCATTTAGCTTTTAATGAGTTTTACACATTAAAAAACTCACAAGTGAGACCTGTAAGCCAATTCTATTTATGTTAGGTACTTATAGGGCCCTCACCATAGCATCCTAGAGCCTTAAAACCCATTTATCTTCTGCATACTCCTGTTTCACTGAGCGGCTAAGTGAGATGCCCCAGGACCCAAAGGAAGTCTGTTGCACAGTAGAGAAATGAACCCTTGTCCCAAGTTCCAGATAACCCCTTTTACCCACAGGTCCTCCCATTCCCCCTCTGTTTTGGAGCAGACAATTTTCTGCCCTTTTCAGCATTGGGCTAAAATGACTGGAGATGATTTCCCGTGACAAGCACCATGGATAACTGGAGCAGCACATTCACAGAGGTAAGATCTGCAGGGCAGGGAAGAGGGCGGTCCCCCCTCTGAACAAGACCAAACTCACATGTGCATGTTCAATAGAGAAGGATCCCCTTCATTACAATAAACTCCAATAGCATGAGGCAGCCTAGACAGTGCCCAGGTTCATTCCCAGTTGCACTGATTGGGACATTTCTCCCAGCTTCAGGGGCTGATGACAGCACCACTTTCATTCCACTTGTACTGGGGCAGGAGGAATCAAACACACTGCTCATTGCACAGGCATTGCACGGCCTTCAAAAAGACCCTTACACATGCGCACAAATAGCAACAGGAACGGCACCATTTTTGAGTTTACTATAAGCAATTTACAGTGGGTGCACTATATGTAACTGGCCCTAAATCCCCCTGTGGAATGAGGATGGACTACCAGTCTTGATGCATCTTACTGCGGATTACAGCACATGCTGACTGACTGTTTTAAGAGGCTGTGGTCTGTGACCATTACATCTGCAGAGCCTTTTCTCTATACGCAGCGATTTCCTGCAGCCGTCTCCCCACGAGAGGGCAGGCTGTGCAAAACTCCAACTTCATCTCAACCATTACTGTAGTCCAAGAAAATCAACAGTGCAAAGCATAAAGGGGTATTCAATTTGTGGGCCTCTCTTTGCGTGCAAAACCCCCAGCTGGGTGGCGTGAGCAAAACCTGCATTTGTTCACACACATCCAGTTACTTAGTTCTCACAGACAAGTGGCTCTTTCCACACAAGCAGTGCTGTGGGCAAGCAGTAACTATATTCACTGCTTGCTTTTGACATTTCACATGTGTGCCTCTCAGCAATTAACCCCTGAAGGTGCTTTACTAAGAGTTGTGGCAAAGAATGGGCGCAAAAATGAAGAATAGATCAAAAAAAGGTGGAATCGTCAATGCCTACCTCTTTCTACATATATAAATAGAGTAGCTACATGCACAAACGGGCACCTCCATGTCCAGACTGCAGTAATATTGAGTGTTTCACAAAAGGAACTCATCCTCTCCAAC